TACTTTTTTTCTTTTTTTTTTTGTTATGGAGCTTTTCCCTTCACAGCCTGACTTGTACTTGAAAATCAGCAGAAGAAGAGAAGAAGAAGAAAAAGAAAATCAAGAACAAGAAGTCGAGAGGAGATTAGGGTTTCGGAGTAAAGCCTCAGATTCAGACAGAAACTCTTCTGGTAACCTCATCCACAATCTCCAATTCACTTCAAACAGTGAACTCACCAAGGTTGATAAGAATCATCAAGAACATAACAAATCTCTCGATCAAGACTTGAGATCTATGTTGATGATGAGACCAATAAGAGGAATCCCTCTTTATCAGAATCAAGTTCTTGACCACCACTACTACTACTCATCTACCTCTCCCACTCCTTTCTTCTTCAGTGAAGTCAACGGCCAACAACATGCTAGTCGTCGCGTAATTACAAACCCTAACTGTAGTTTTAATTTTCACCACCGTAATCGTCGTCAAGCTCAGCCGCAGCCGCCTAGATTCACGGCCAAACGAGGGGTAAGGGCTCCAAGGATGCGGTGGACGACGACCCTCCATGCCCATTTTGTACACGCTGTTCAATTATTGGGTGGTCATGAAAGTATTGTCCTTTTTCACTATTACCCCCTTTTTAATTATTTTATCTCTCTCTTTTTGTTTTAAAAAAAAGAAAGAAAATTGAATAATATTGATTTGAGAGATAATTCTATCTTATTGATATTGAGATTATTGAAAATATTCAGGAGCAACCCCAAAATCAGTACTTGAGCTGATGGATGTGCAAGATCTCACATTGGCTCATGTTAAATCTCATCTACAGGTAATCTCCTTAAGTTACTTATATAATGTATAGTCAATATGAAACCAGTTATACCATTTAACATATATATAAACCAGCGGGCTAATATATGAAAATTTATTGTGTTAAAGATTTGAATATGCTTATGAACCGAACCCATTGCAACTTTTTTTTTAATGAAATGACAGAATGTTTTGTGACTAATTAATTTGGACATAGTTAAAATAGTTATACTTTAGATTCAAAAAAAAAATAGTTATACTTTTTTGGTCGCCACCATTTATCAAAAACTATATACGTACCATGTCCATGTGAAGAAAGAAAATAAATCAGAAGTAAAGGAATCAAAAGCTAGATATAGCCAAAGGGTAAGAAAAAGAATCCTTTTACAACTCGAGTGAGATGCAGTAGAAAAGTTAAAGTACAAAGGAGGCATCATTCTTCAATGATGATATGTAGATTGACATGCACACATATATGTATATATATGATTCTTCAATGATAAACATATATTAGTTACTTTTTTTGTATAATTTGACCGTGGTTATAGAAACTTAGAATAAGACACGTAGACCCATGCACACACACCATCTCTGTGTATGGCTGCACATTTTCATGAATCGTAAATGCTTTATGTTTTACTCTGCTCTCTCTCTCTTTTCTTACTTTATCCATCTCTGTCTCTGTGTGCGTGCATATCTAATATATACATATACTGTCTATAGGTTATAGGCCTACACACACGTGAATAGAACAAGTCTGCACACATGAATACATGATATATGAATATTATATTTATTGATCGATATAACCTATTATTCTTAACAATGATATATATAGTTTTCCTTTTTTGTAATCTAATGTATAATGTTTCAGATGTATCGGACCATCAAGTCTACAGAGAAACCCACAACGTCATCAGGTTTGATTGATTTAATTAAATTATCTGTCAAATACTATATACAAGCTAAGTAACATGCTGATATAAATGTGTATGTATATATATATATTTATAGGGCAGTCAGATACTTGTGAGAATGGAACACAAGTAAACAGTGAGAGAGAAGCAAGAGATGTCCAAGGTCTATGGAATAACTCCTCAAGGTATGTTATGTTTTAAAATGTTATAAGTATAATTTAGTATTTGTTTTATTAATTTTTTGGTGTTTAGTTTGTCGGACATATAGATGTACATATTAGGCAACTTTCTATATTTGTAACATATGATTAATTTAACATATGTGTATTGTTTTGTAAGTTGAGTCTAGAATCATTTTACATTATTCTTTCTTTTTCGTTTTTTGTTCAAACATACAATGTGATCTGTAATTTGAATGTCTGTGCAAACAGTGAAGCTCGGTTCCAATTAAAGGCAAAGGCATCATCAGGTGTAGACATTTCATTCAATGAGGTATCAGATTTCAAATTTTTTAACCAAAAGGCATTGGAATTAAATTGAACTGCAAAATTCGAGGGTGAAAAATAAAAGTTTTTATAAAGTTTGCATATAATTTACTTTTCTCTTCCATTTGGGTTAAAATAAAAGTGGTTTTCCTCTTTTATTCTTGTCTCAAAAGCAGAGAAAAGAATGACTTTTTCGGTCTATCATACTTTATTTTCATAACCCCAATTCAATAGATTTTTTCTTTTGTCTTAAATTCTTTGTTTCTTTCGAAACATCTTATATGAGATTATTCTTATTCAGATATACCCGTTTAAATATAATGTTATCAGAATAAATTGAAGAAAATGGATGGAAGATGTGCAAGCAACGAAAGATTGTCGTCGGATTCGTCAAGCCTCACAGGGACAAGACCAGACACTGAAACTCCCAATCTAGAGTTCACTTTAGCTACACCTAATTAATCTTCTAGCTCCCTAATTTTCTATATATTTTATACCCAAAAATTGTCTATTAAAAATATATATATCTATATCTATATCTCAAACTCTAAAGTTATAAGCTTATGGTATAAGAAAGAATTGGAAATAGTGTTAATTTCTTCAAATATTTGTTTGTAGTTTTGTCCGGTAAAATTGAGATGCTTTTTTATGTGGGTCGTTAATTTGAGATGCTTTATTTATATACAGACTTCTTGTCGCGAATGGAATAATAATATTTGTTTTTCCTTTTATATATATTTATTTATTTCGGTACGAATGGAATAAAATTATTTGGTCATCATTACAGCGATGCAAAAGCTACGACTGATCTACGTGTCCAAATCGGAATGCTTTATTACTGAACACATGGTTGTCTGACACGTGTTGGACCCTTGTGACGTTGACCTGCCATAGACTTATTTTTTCTTTGCAAATTCGGTAAAGACAAGAAAAGAGAATAAAACGAAATAAATTAACGAGAACTTTAGATACATGAAGCATATGATAATATGTAATAATACATACCTCGTAGGTAAAATATTAATTTACTAAAATTTTAGACTAGTCGAATCAAAAATGTTTGTAAAACTAAGTAAGTCAGAGACTATTTCGAGATAAGTCAAGAACTTAATTTTTTTTTTCCTCTACCGCAAAATAACACCTAATACATTTTACTATGACATACATTTTTCAAAATTTCAGGCTATGAAAATTGTTTACGTTAACTTACTTACTAATCTACTATACCTACATTTTATGCCAAAAAAAAAAAAAAAAAGTTCACTTAATTATACGTTAAGCTTGTTGAAGTGATCGCATCTGCGTCTCACTTCTCCATCTCCTTCGCCTTTAACACCGACCGTGCCTAGTTTCTCCATGGCACGTGCAAAATCCTCGAAGAAAGCCGTCTGATTATTCGCATATAATTCCACAAACGGTCTAGTGCTAGTGTCTTTAAACAAAATATGGTCGGAAGCTAACACTCCAAGCCCTCGTTTCAAGTTCTTGAAATACATATTGTCGAATTTTGCGGGCGTCACCGGATCGAGAAACGCTACCATCGTCTTATTGGTCTTGTAATCCTTGCATAGACCTTTAAGAACGCCTGCGAATCGCGCGTCGAGTTCTGGATCAGCCTTGGGGAATATTCGGCTGCTGAACTCTTTGCAGTGTGAAACTCCGATCGTATGCCCTCCGCTTAACGCAACCAGCTCTTTCAGGGTGAAACCATTCTTCTTGAATATTGATAACATGTCCGGGACGGACTGGTTCGCTAAAGGTAGGTTTCCCTTCACTTTATGGGCTTTGGACTCAAGACCATCTTTACGGCCCAATATAACTTCGTAGGAAGGCCCACCAACCATTGTGACAAGGTCACGTGTGGCCTGAGCCAGGATGTCTGCGCAAGACACAACACCGGGACATGACAATTCGAGAGCGGTTTTGATGCGAGTCACAATGTCAAACGCATCTCCCGGGAGTGACTCGTTGAGGTCGTCGTCACGTTCAGCTTTGTTGAAAGAATTTGTAGCGATTAGGACAGAAGCATCACATCCTTCCAAGAAACAATCATGGAAAAAGAGACGGAGCGTTCCAGCAGCTGTCGTCGGCTGCTGACCTTGCTTTGGTGTTACGGTGTCACGTACGATTTTATTGAAATTTGGACATGTTTTTTGGTAATAATCTTTTGTTAAATTTGGCGGTGGTGCCGAACTTATAAACGGGACAAAGACTAAGACGAGGTAGATAACGCGAATATACCAAGACATGGTGGATTCACGAGACGTATATATCGATTTACGGAAGATAGTATTGCTTGTAATTGTAAAATGTAGATGTCTACGAGGTAGACTTCTATATTAGATTATTGTCGGTGAAAAATAGAAGCATGTACGTGTGGTTGGAGTTTGGCTTTTTGTATATTCTTCCAATATCTGTGATTACTCTATATTTAGTTTCTTCTTTAACTTCATTTTTCACTAGAGACGTTTCCTAACACAGATTTATTATGCAATCTTTTGGCTTCTAGGTTAATTAAACCACAAACATGGAATGCTAATTGGTGGTACCATGGTGGTGGTGGTGGTGGTTGCGAGGATATAAAGATAATGACGCAGATCGATGAGAGCTGATAGGCAGGGATGGTCAATTGATTACGGATCTGGTTTGGTGACATAGGCAATGAGGAAAATGACCCAAAGCACACACCTCAGAAACAAAGAAAGAAGTCAAGAACCACTTAATTGGTTTGTTTTGTATTACTACTAATGTTTTCGAAAGAAAATTGGAATGGTGATTGATTAACAAAAGGACTTACAAGAAAACATATTGATGGTCAGAGATAGATATGAAAGGTTATAATTAAATTGATAAACTAAACATAGAATTAAGTAAACTTTTATCTAATAGAATGATGCTCTTGATTTGATAAATAAAGAAAACAAAATTAATCAAGACAAATGTTGACATGAAATTGCTTGAACATGCCATCCCTCTTACATCAATTTGTTGCTTACATTGCCACCACATTTCTCCATTCTCATGTCATTCTTGTTGACAATTAATTTATTAGTACATAAATTCCTACCATTCTTTCTGACCAACAACATATGCCACAAAATTAAATAACCAAATTATTTTGTTGTTAGATGTTAACTTTTGCTTACGTTATTCTTTATAAAGTATACAACCATTCGTATATTCTTAGCTCCTAACATTTGATAAGCTTGGTTTTATTTTTCTTTATATAGTTCAGTTTTGTTTTGGCCGTATAAAGTATGGCACAAGTTGTAATGATGGCCGCCACACATAATTTATCTACCTATATATCATAATTGTATATATGTAAACATCATATAATATGCAACTGCACTATGCGAAGCATATATAAACAATGAGGAAACGTGAAGTGGACATATACTAGAAGGGGAACATCTAATTTGATATTCTTATTTTAAATAACGTCCAATGCTTTTATGCATCTAGCCATCTACATGAATCATCTACTACACCTTTCAATTTGTGCCTGCCAAAAAAAAAAACATACAGTAATTAAGTATTTGGAGTGAAAAAAGAGAAACATATAGAAGAAGAATATACAGAAAACAAAAGAAAGAGTTGGGTAACATTAATGAGAATCATGCACACAATGTGGAGAGCTTTAAAAGACCCACACAAGTCTGTACTCTTTCGTCCCTTCCCCTCTAAAACCTCATCTTCCCCATTTATTTCTCCCATTCTTTCTCCTTTTTCTCCTTTTTTTTTATAAAAAAATCATCACCATCATTTTCTCATACACAAACACATGCATGCCCTTATTATCTGATGGTAGATGCTTCATACATTTCTATACATCTTATTTAATGGCGGTTCAAGCTCATCATCCTCCAAGTTCTTTCTTCCTCAATAGGTATATATAATAATAATCTTCACGTAATCAAATTTATATATATGGATGTGTATCTTTGTGTTTTGTATACGTGATGATTCGATTTCTTATGAGCAGTAACGGACAAGAAGCGGTTGATTCGAGAAAGCGGTCGAGAGAAGTTTATTCGTCGTCGGTGGTTGTGGCGGCTCCGATGTACCCTCCACCGTCAAAACCGCCGCAAGTTATTGATTTGAGCGAGTTATTCCAGACACCGCCTAATGTGGTTTCGACCGGTCTTCGATTATCTCATGAGCAGTCACAGAATCATCATCAAGAACAGTTTTTACCTTCTTTTTCTATGCTTCCGGGAGGAGAACTCGCCGGAGAAATGAAACGACAAAAAAATGAATTAGACAGATTCATTCAGACACAGGTATCTTCAACACCATCTAAAGTGTAGTTTACTTTGTGTGTGTTTTTTTTTTCCCCTCTAATGTATGTTTTGTTTTGTAGGGTGAGGAGCTGAGGCGTGCGTTAGCGGAGAACAGAGAGAGGCGCTACGCGGAGCTATTGTGCGCGACGGAGGAGTTGGTGGGACGGAAGGTGAGAGAAAAAGAAGCGGAGTTGGAGAAAGCCACGCGCCGTCACGCTGAGCTAGAGGCGCGTGCAGCTCATCTCGCGGAAGAGGCGCGAAACTGGCAGTTAAGAGCGGCGACGCGGGAAGCCGAAGTGGCCTCGTTACAGGCCCATCTCCAGCAAGCCATAGCGAACCGCCGAGATACGACCGCGATACAAAGTACGATCGGAGGCGGCGACGGCGACGCGGAGGAAACCGCCGAGGACGCGGAATCAGTGTACGTGGATCCGGAGCGGACCGTTATGAACGGACCAAGTTGTAGGATTTGCCGGCGGGAATATGCGACGGTGATGGCATTGCCGTGTCGGCATTTGGCTCTTTGTAATGGTTGCGACGGCGACGAAGTGCGAGTGTGTCCGATTTGCCTCGCCGTGAAAATAGCCGGTGTCAAGGTTTTGTTTACTTGAGTGGAAATTTATTGATAGGCCCGTTAATAGGCCCATGGGTCCATCTAGATCTAGCAAGAAACAAAGACAACAGTACAGACAAAGGACTTTTTCTAAAGGGAAAGAGAAATAAAATTGAAAATGAGATTTGAAAAAATATTATTAGTTGTTGATGTACATAGGACATGGCCACATGTAGTGGCATTTTCTTCGTTTTGACATTTTCGTTGGCTTTCTTTCTTTTGGAAATTCTTTGCCTTTTTCTTTTGTTTTAAAAAAATATATATATTAGATTTTAAGTCCTTTAAATTTTGAATTTTATTTTTATTTTAGATAATTAGTATATTTCAAATTTGGAGATATGCACAATTGTAAGGAAATTGCTGGTTTATGGTCGGCTTGATTTAGTAGCATACGACGGAACTAGTTTAATTAGTTAACTAATATCAATTGAGAAATGAATTTTCAAGAAACATTCATGCAGTTCTTGTCTCCTCATCGTGACGTTGGTGTCTTTCTGTTACTCATCTTTTAATTTTTCTTTGTCTAGAAAATGATGAATTTTTGTGAGACGACATAAGAACAACTTTGTGACTATTGACACACAGATATTTTTATTGAAAGAAAAAGTTTTGAAATATCAACAAGAAAGACATTTGAACGGTGACTTGTAGTTGATCTTTCTATGTGATTTTTGCATCGAATCTCAATAATTTTCATACCAAGTTCGTCACTAAGCCGGCCAAATTAGGTGTTTCCATTTAACGTTTTGCATATAAATAACAAGAGAAGAAATCACTAGGATTGTAAAAACTCGTGGTCCGCGACTTAACAGAGTTGTATACTGGTATGTCAAATACAAACCCTGAATGCTCATGATAATTCCAAGTATCCATCCATTTACTTGCATGTAAATTAAAACACGTAAATAAATACAACCGATTGAGAAATGGAGTTTTGAAAATGTTGCTTTAACTAGCTTAAATGTTTTGAGTGTATAAGTACGTATAACCATGACTACGGGTCCGTGACTATAATATATGATGATGCGTCGTGGCAGAAAGTGATGGAACAGTGTGATCTTCTTCATAATTAGTGTTTATGTTTTGCTTTTGGCTTTCATAAATTATGCAGACTGCCATTAGCACATTACCATTATCATCTCTTTTAAAATATGTAGTACGTAGTACGTAGTATAGTTTAAAGGAATTGATCCTCACCTTTGAAATCTAAGTTTGGTGAGACACATTTCCTAATGAGTTGAATCAATGGACTTTGTCATTCCAGTTTCCACGTGACAATAATGCGATCCAACTATTCATGTGACTCCTCTGTCCCTCCCTCAATAAACGATATATAATCAAGCATTTGGATCCATCTCCTTAATCATTCATCTACTTTTTTTTTTCAATTATATGTCTATTCTAGACATATCATACCAAAGCCAAGAGAACAAAATCACTTGTATGAACACGTTCACTTTGACTGGTCATTCTCCGTGTGTTAGCAATCGTCAATTAGGCATATTTTGAATCATAGAAAAGTATATAGCTATTTTACTATGTAATACTTTAAACCATTGTAAACGTATATAAATGGTAAGAATATACAGTTTTTTCTTACATACCTCAAAGATTAGTCTAGGCTTTGGCAAAAGTTCTACTATCCAAATAATAATATTACATAGTAAAATAACATTTTCTACTTTTATAATTTTGCAAAGAGTATATATTTAGGGTTCACGACGCTCGAGCTCGATATCTCTTGCAAACTACCAACCTGTGCTTGGGCGGCTTCGACATTAGTGATCTAAAATTGTAGGTTTGTATAAGAAAGAGGCTTGCTCACCCCCACAAATCAGTTGGATTGATTCAAACACCAAACCACCAGCAATATAAAAAAAAATCTTGCAGATCGACTTTTGTTTATTTTGAATGTGGGAGTGGGTAGTGGGAAAGGTAACAAAGTTGACAGAGACAAGGTGACGAGTTTAGTGGCCCAAAATGATTACTGTCTCAAATGGCACAATCTGTACTATGCTTCGATTGCTTGGGATTGATGATAGGCCGTATGTTTTCAAGCCCAGACCCATCAAATGAAAATCTTCATACTCTACAGTCTACAAGTTGAGTTGTAAATAACAAAAATTGTAGTTTCAACTTTCAAGTGTTATCATATTCTTTCTGGATGAATAAAAAAGAAGTAGACAATAGAATTGATTATAAACTAGTTTAAGAATATGATTCATAAACGACAAAATAAGTATCTTAGGCTGCCCTCCTGGCTCCTACCGATACACAATTATTACGAGTATATATAAAATATAATTTAAGAATTGAATATTAGGTGTGGGATTAAGAAAAGAAACGCATAAAGTAATGAGTAAATTAGTGGAATTTTGCTTTATGTTGATTAATCTAATCGTTTTTATAAAAGTAAGTGGGAGAGAATCTAATACGAGAATCGATGTGTTTCGACACAGGAGACATATTTGTTGCCTTGTGGCAGCTTCTAGATCTCTTATTTGTAATCAAATGAACCTAATGATCTTACAAACTCCATCAAACTTGAAGAGCAAGCCTGTTCTCGTAGATATTTAATCAAACTTGATGTAATCAAATATTATAATCAAGTTGCTGCTAATTGTATTTTCTTTTGGTTTCCAATGCCTTTTGTTTATATAAATAATTAAGGGCCTGGTGCGCCACAAATGTTGTTCCCTATTAGAAGCTCATCCCATGTGACAAACTCGAGGATTAATACAGTAATTTAATCATAATTATTGTTGTAAACTGTCTACAAATTATCGTACGGACACATGTAAATTACACGATTGGAGTTGTGAAATAAGTAGTGTCGTTTTTTCTTCCTTCTAAGTTCGTGTATTGCTGACTATTGAACTTAAAAACCCATATAGGGTGATACAAATTCCAATAAACAAAGAAAAAGTGACCGATCAAATCATTTCTCTGTCTGATATATGGACAATATTAATTTTGGAATCTGATAGTTTCATAGTTTTTTCGTAGAAGGGTTTTGAAAATTTCAATACTAGTTGATTAAGACTTTCATTCATAAATAAATTTTTTTTATATATAACGATCATTCAAAAATCACTTGACGTGATGTATTCTGTTGGTAATAAGACTTTTGTTTCATCGCCTGGTGATAGTATTTTTATTAGACCGCCGGCTTATAATTTTCGTAGAAAATTCAAAACAGGACTAAAATACATATTTAAGAAATAGATGTAGACATAAATAAAAAGCTTCTTCTCTTCATCATGTTGAGACAAGAGCTTTTTTTAATATATATAAGAAAAAGGTACAATGAAATTAGAGAGGGAGGGAGAGCTTGACTGAGCAGATTCGGTAAATGGACCATAGAACAATCAATAATGAATAACGTACAATGGAGAAAACTTAGTAAACCAAAAAAATTGTGAACCGTTCATCTTGGAAACGAAGGACGACTACGGCATTAGATTTGACCTGATAAAAGAGTATTCAAGTACTGCTCACTCTCTTTTTGAAGGCCTATTGCCAAGTACTGGGGGCACTCGTGTCCTCCTCCTTCGTGTGAGCCGATCTCTAGAATAAATCTACGCATCCGGTCGAAATAAATATATTTGTAATTTTGTACATAGAAAAATCTAAGTTTTCTAGGACTTGACTATAAACTTTTTGCATACATAAACAACGAATTAGTCGTCGTTACTCGATTTGCAATGGGATTGTTTATGTTTATGAGTAATATATTTCTTAATACTTTGGCCGTTCAACTACTTATTTATGTACGAATATATAGTTCAACAATAAATGTTATAATAATAGAAGTCTGATTCCCTTTTAATAACCATTAGAAAATTCAACATCTGTTTTTCTTGCTAAGGGCACATACACTAATTATACACATACCATTTCAAGTCTCAGGCGCTAATGGGTAAGTATGAACACATACATCAACGCATTTTAGTTCACACATACCTTTACACATATGTGACTTGTGTATAGTGTGTTTAGTAAACATTTCTTATTGCTTGCTGGTTAACAAATGATGGAAAAACAAACGACGATGAAGCGTACACATAGATAAGGAACAGTTGAAGAGAATAAAGAAGGAAGGTAAACAACGTCGACGACGGTCCAATAGTGGCAATGGCATGATCACGTAAATATAAGCAGCTTAAGAATTTGGGTGGGACCTCTCTCCAAACCAATGGGCTAGGGAAATATGGGCCCACACGATTTATGCAGTTGTGAGATATAATGACATTTTCTTTATAAAAAAATGCAGAGAAAGAGAGAATCACAGACGAGAGAATAATAAAAAAATATTATTTTTTCCTAATAATTTATAATATAAAAAATGACGGAGAGTGACGTGGTTCCACAGATATTTAGACATTATTATTATTAGAAAAATGAAGATAAATATTCTGACCAGAAAAACAAAATAATAATAGTAATATTAAGCAACAGAAATGTACTATATATAATGAATTAGGCACCGGACACAACACACCACAGAAAGTAATAACATATTATTAGAGCATCCTCGTTGTAAGGGTTCTTACACAAATCTTACCTTAAGATTTGTGAAGAAAAAAACTTTTATAAGGATTTTTCTTCACAAATCTTACCTTAATATTTGTGTAAAAACCCTTGTAATGAGGATGATCTTAGTATTTTGCATTATGGTGGCGCTTAATAATACATATACTCACATATTGTAAACTATAGTAGTTTTATTAAAATATCAAACCATAAATCATATAATAAAAAAACTATATATTAATTTTACAGATACGCAAACTAGTTTATGGAGTAAAGATATTTTATTTTCGAAATTGATATGAATTTAAACAAGAAGGAAGAAGACTTTGGGACAGGTGGTGGTGGGGTTGGGATTAATTAAAAAAGACTTTGGGAACTTCCGAGCCTTGCGCAAGTGTACTACGTTTTTTTATACTTTTTTATTTTGTCTTATTATTTATTTATTTATTTATATTTGCTTACACGCTTCCTTTAGGCGCGTGTTTAACACGGAGAGTCCTTCCTTGGTTTTAGTTAGTTATTGTTTCCAAGGAAGTCCAACAACTATTTAATGTTTGTTGTTTTTTTTTTTCTTACACCAAAAATTATTTCAAAAGCAATCCCATGATTTCACATTAATATAATGTTTTTAACATTTATTTCTTACATTTTTAAAGATTTTTTTTTCTCTTCTTGCTAGAGCTGATTGATATACACATATTTTTATCATTGATTTTAGTATAGACATCAAATAAAAGGTATACTATAATTTGATTTTTCAATTTGTGTGCGAAAGATGGTAAAATCTGTTTGATTAAAATACAAAGCTAGATTCAAGTAAATATTTTTTTTTTAATTTTGTCTGTTTTCTTTTTTAAAATAAAATGATTGGGGGTAATTTGTTGAGTGTTGAGGAGGAGGAGGAGAAGTCGTCACAAGGCTTTTTCCAAAGTCTTTGGCAAATAAACGTCATATTCATCACGAGAACAAAAAGATAAAAATAAATGAAAAGACTCAAAACTAAAAAAAAAAAAAAGGGAGAAAACGACGTCGTATATGTTCTATTAATAAAAGTAAATAAATAAATAATAGTATATTAGTATTAAGCAAAAAAAAGTGTACTTGCCAATAAAGAAAGAAAAGAAGACACAACAAGTGGTCGTGTTTAGGTTTTTACGTAACGCGCAAATCTCACGCGCGCCTGTGGGACCCCATTCTCTAATGACTTTCTTAACCTCTAAGTGCCTGGTGGGACCCTTGTTTTCATGGAATTACATTTCTCAGCATTTCCTTTTTCTTCTTACAAAACATCAGAGTGTTATTTACGTTTATGTCCCTCACTCTTTAGCTTCAATAACGATGTTGCCATTTTTTTAATTAATTTTACCTGCAATTTTAATTTAACTTTGGATTAATAAGTATAATAATTGCGTCTAGGTTAATGATGTTCTTAAATAGACCACTAGTACTAGTAGTACATTTGATTAGACAACAACAAATCATAGTTGTTATTTCAGTTTATAAAGACTGTAACTTCGCATAAACTTACTGTAATTAGATTCATATATAATCATATAATTATATCCGCATAAATATTAGTTATTGATCCAGTTTAATTTGATTCTTTTACCTGAATTAAAATTTTGTTCAATGCATTAGATCGGTTTTAGCCTTTATGAAAAAAATATTTTAGGTAACTCGAAATTATTCATGAAAGTAATCTTTCTACTTTTTTTTTTCCTCTTAAAAGCTTACCACTATTCACCAAGTTAACTAGTGGTATTTGATTAACTTCATAAGTAAAATGCTTAAAAGCTTTCAGGAAAACTAAAAAAACCAATAATTATACACACTAGTGCCTCAATTACTCATCTTATAATATAATTGGTTAGGTAGTTAAAAAAAATATTAAAGAAATATATAAAAAAAAGTACAGTACTAGTAAAGAAATAGAAAAAAGCGGTATTGCGAAAACAAGAAGCCAATAGATTCTCTCTCTCTGTCTCCTTGTTGAGTTTATGTTGTTCCTAAAACTTGCTGCTTCTTCTTTTTTCTCTCTCTTAACCAGAATCAAACCTGTCTTTCTATTCCTATATAAAAACCCATTCTCCTATCTATCTTCCCCCTCCTCTCAACTCTCCTCCTCCCCACACCAAACCTCTCTCTCTCTCTCTCTCTCTCTTTCCTCTCATAAGAACTAAGAAGAACACAGAATACAAAAAAAACAATGGAAGTTTCAACGAGAAAGCCTTACTTCATAGACGAAGAAGAAGAAGGTGGTTTGGCTTCTCTAGAAGCTGGTGTTTCGACTCCTTCTTGTTACAACAATAATCTCAAGAAGATGAATCATCACTACAACCATCCTCAGAGTTATTATTACCACCATCATCATCATCAATACTCTGTTTCATCTCCCAGATCTGGAAAATTCCACGATTTTAGATTCGACAATAGCTCTTTCGGACAGCCTCATTTCTTGGACTCTTGTTTCCTCTGCAAGAAACGTCTTGGTGATAACAGAGACATCTTCATGTACAGGTACTTTTACATCTTTCACATCTTTGATTCCCTCTCTAAGATTAGCTTTTATGTTCGATTACTTTGAGGTTAAGGTTTTGATTTGCTTTATAAAGTTTAGGTCTTTTTCCCTAATTCTGTATTTTGCCTTGTGAGTTAAGAATTGTTTCTGATTTTTAAATTTTGGTGTTTCATTATTTTGAAACAGAGGAGACACACCGTTCTGTAGCGAAGAGTGTAGAGAAGAACAGATAGAAAGAGACGAAGCAAAAGAGAAGAAACAGAGTCTGTCTTCTTCCGTGAAAGCTATGAGAAGAAATGAAAAGCGAAGCTCTTCTTCTTCTCCTACTATATCTCGTGACTACGCTTTCCACTCTGGAACCGTTGCTGCTGCCTAAAGCCCTCAATGCCCTAATCTTTAAGTTATAAAAAAAAGTAACCCAAAAAAAAAAAAAGAATCCATTAACGCTCAATTGCTGTAAAAGCTGGTTAATGGTTTTTATGGGTTTTTTCTTCATCTATAGAAGAAATCTTAGTTTGAATTTGAAAACTCAGAAGAAAATGGTTAGGGGGGAAAAATAAAATAAAAAAAGTTAAAGAAACCTCTCTTTTTCAAGGGTTTGTCCAATTTCTTTGTTATTTTTTCTCGTTTTTTATTAGCTTTTTTTTTTCTTTCTCTTAAAAGAAGAAAGATATATATATGCAATTTTGGGTGTACAAGAAAACTATGGCCAAAACGCCTATGTAAATCTTGGAGTATATGTAATCATCAGACTGGCTGTTCTCTTGTTTTGAAATGATGGGGTTTGATTTGTGATGAATAAAAAAGTACAAAACATATAATATAAAATGATAATGATTCACATCTTATTTAATTTTCGTTAATTAAAATATATAATTGTGGAGGTAAGTAATGGTATCAATTTCTTATTGGAGTAGGTTTGATATGTCATGATTCATCATAAGCATTATTATATAATGTAGAGAAATTAACAGACAAATCTTTTTCTGCGCATGTTCTGTGAGATCATTTTGTTTTGTGCAATAGTACAACTCTTTAAACTTTAATCATTTTTTTTTTTTCTATAACTTCTGTTAAAGAAAAACAAAACAGCTTTAAAAAGTGTTTGAACTTTGGTTGTATTATGAATTCAAGATTGATCAGTTGATCTCCAACCTTTAGTTGTAAGCACAATTTTGTTTTCAGAATCGTTTTTTTTATGGGTTAGCCATTCCCTAAGTACACGACCGAAATAACGAGTCTTTTAGATAATGGGCTTAATATTATATTACTTGGGCTTTTTCATACATCTCATATATATTTGCTCGTAAGTATTCTCTACTCTTTAGAAAACAAAAAAAAGTTAGGCTCTAACACTAATAACTTCTCATAGCTCCATTTGATTCCTCAATGATCTTTCTAAGACTCTCGACGACAAAGGCCATGGTGGGTCTCTCTTTATCGTTCTTTTTCAGACAGTGATCAGCCAGCTTAGCCACTCTCCTGACCATCTTAATTGGATACTTGTGGCATAGCTTCGAGTCAATGATCATTTTGAAGCTTTTGCTATCAACAGGATACTTTTTGACCCATTCTAGAAGCTTCTTCTCAGCCAAAGGCTTCATTCGTTCGATTGTCCGGCGACCAGTGATGATCTCATACAGAACAACTCCAAAGCTATAGACATCGCAATGTGTCCTGAGATGGCCGGTTGCTACATACTCCGGGGCGGCGTAGCCGTCTGTTCCAACTCTCTTTTAGGAGAATCATATGATACAATAAGAGTTGAAGTTGTTACTTGTGGACAAAGCAACTACTGATTTACAATATATAGAAGTTGTAAGAGAGAAACAGAAAATTTTGCTTACCGCGGTTGTAACATGAGTGTTGTCTCCTTCGGGACCTTCTCTAGCGAGACCAAAATCTGATAATTTCGGATGAAAGTCATCGTTTAAAAGCACATTTGATGATTTGAAGTCTCTATATATTACCTGCTCAATCAAAAAAGACAATGCATCTAGTTAGACTAGACATATATATATATATATATATATATATATTTATGGTTGTTGTGATGGTGTTAGGATTCAAGATCACCTGGATTTCGTGCAAATAAGCCAATCCTTGCGCTGCACCGAGCATGATCTCAAGCCTTTGTTTCCACGACAGCGTTACGGTTTTTCGAGTGAAGAGATGCTCCTCTAAGCTACGATTAGACATCAACTCGTAAACCAAAAGCCTCTCTGTGTCCTCTGCGCAATACCCTAAGAGCCTCACTACGTTAGGGTGATTCACTACGCCCAGCAACTGAACCTCTGCTAGCCATTGCTTATGACCCTTTCATTACAAAAACAGAGGACCAATAGTAATGCTATATTAGTATATACATAAGATCAAACCTACACCTACTACAAACCAAATAAACAAACAAAGCTCTGAAAACTTGTAGTCTCTTTGTTAATATTTTAATACTTTCGCTAATTCGATCACAAAAATCAGAAAATTCCACATCATTGTCAAAGTCTTGCTTAATTTACAAGAAATGAGTAAAACTTGTTCTTGGCTTAAATTTCTAACATTGTTTTTGCAATTTTTCTATCCCAAAAAATAAAATAAAAAAATCTACATTATTGAAACTTATATCTTTGTTAAAAGTTCGAATATTATCACTAATATCAAAACCCCACATGATTTTCATAATCTTGATTGAATAATGATAAAAATGTGGGAAATTGTTCTTAGTCATATTTCTAATCATTTTGCAATTCTGTCACACAAAAAAATAAGAATATTAAAAAAAGATAATGCACACCTGTAGACTTTGTCGATTGAGTTTCTTAACGGCGACGGCAAGTGGAGAAGAATGAGAACTTGTTCCGGTGGGATTGTCAATGGTGGCTTGATAAACACAACCAAAGCCACCTTGTCCGATCTTTAGCTTTCTGCTAAACCCACACGTGGCGTTACTTAGTTCATTGTAAGAGAAGACCCTCAGATTTTGATGATTTTGTTCTCTCTCTGTGTATAAGTCTTTTATACTCGTCGGAGATGGCAGAGATCTTGGTGTAGGGAGACTGAACGACAACGACGAACTTCTCGTAGTTAATTCAGGAGCTGACTTTTGTAATCTTGAGTTTTTGTTCTCCTTATCAAGATTTCTTCTAGATTTAGGTTTCTTGGACTTGAACAAGAACATACAGTTCATGTCTTCTCTGTTTTTTTTTTGGTCTTCTGATTTTTGGTCTTTGGGTGTATCGTAACTTGTAAACTTAAAAAAGTTAAAACCTCTCTTATACACAAAACAAGCAGACGAAATTTCTAAGTAAATCAAGAAATAAAGTTAAGATGCTATGAATGAAAGAGTAAAGACTAATTCTTCTGTTTGCAGAAAAAGGAAAAAGATATGGTTTCTTGGGCAAGAGAGTAGATTGCATGAAGAGAGACCCTAAAATGGGATTAGATGGCAAAATGGGTATGAACACAAAAGAGAGAGCTAGTAAGTAAAAGGATAGAGAAACTTTTTCTATCTATGGATATACACAAAGTAGATTTTTGCTTATGAAGTGTTTTTGATCCAAAAAGGAGAAAATGAAAGGGAACGGCTAACAATGGGAAACTGACGTAAAGAAAATTAAAGATAAACAGTAGTAAACACAAGACCAGAGTTTATTTTCATATTTTGGACTTAAATGATACAAAAGACCAAACCCATTTTTTCTTTGTCTAATCCATCTACACTCTATACTTTTTTATTTATTGGTTGGTTCATTGAAATTAAAAAATACTATACAATAAATGAGTCATTTTGCGTTTACATATATAAAATGGTTCATTCTATCTTTTTTTGTTTGTTTGTGGAACAAATAATTATTAGGGAATGGAGATTGAAACTAGTAATATATTATAAATTCCAATTAAAATATTGGAAAAGTCGATATAGTAATAGGAGTATAGGACGTTCCATGAAACAAAAATAGAAGCGTGTGATTTAGTCAAGTCAATAGACTCAACTCACTCAAGTCTTATGTGTATTTATTGGATTTGGTTTGGGTCAGAGAATTGATAATACTCATAGTTATTGCATAGTTGTTGTTGTTGCAATGCAAGTCAATGACTCAGTTGTAGTATATATCATCTTGAAATTTGGACCTCGTAACTTCGATTTTTTTTGTAAATGGTAGGTACATATACAATTATAATGTTTGAGTTATGTATTATTTTGTAACTTTTTGCATTATATCATTATATCATTTAGAAACCATATAACACACCGACTCGTTTCTCTTTTCTTTTCACTGCTTTTTTAAAATTTACTTATAGAATTGGGACAAATTCCATTAAAGTTTGACTAAAAAGATATGCTCTTATTTGGTCGTTTGGGAAAAAATGATGAAGCAAAAGGCAAAACCGCGTTCACTTCCCCGTACAAAATTGCCTCAACCTATTCACTCCATTTTTGACATTTACAAACAACAAAAAGCAATAGATGATAATCTTTTGGGTGTAAACTAAGATTTATTAATGTCTAAAAAGAGAGGATCATATAGTAATTTATGAATGTATGCTCTTCACTTACTTACTCCATATATTCACATATGTCTTCGGACTTCGATTGATGCCAATACATCTCTCAGAGAGACACACACCGGACGGACTATGCAAAACATTTTATTTCCTTTTTTGAGTTCAATGGATATGACTAGATTTTGAGAGGAGTTGAAGCCAAGACTTTTGGTTTTCCCACTAATGCTCATCTTCCAAACCTTTTAGACTTTTACTTCTTATTGAATTATTCTCCACTGTTTAAGCTTACGAAACACCCTTAATATGAATGTTGCGTCACCACATACGTGAACCTGTATGTCGTCATCATCAATATGTAGACTAAGAAAGAAGTGGTTGAAGGAGGAAAAGACTCCAAAAGAGATATGGATGTGTTTATTTTATGCTTTTACATTTAAACAAACATCTGATGTGTTCTTGATCTTCATATGCAAAAGCATTCATATATATGAAATAACAAAACATGATATGCGTAATCGCTCTCTAGCAATCAAAAGATGGAATCTAAACTGATGTGTTACTTCCGTTATGTATATAGAGATATGTCTCAAGCTCTTTGTTCATATGCGTTTTCATCTACTCGAACTCCTGGACCATACACTAGTCGGCATCGGTCACTAAATGCTCCCACAAGTCTTGTTGCTACCTCTTTTAAGAACATTGAAGCTACCTGAAATAAACGAAAAACACTTTCAAACTACTTGAGGTTTTATATCAACCAAGATTCACCTTGGGTGACAAAGACAGTATTTTCTTGTAAATTTCTTTGATTCTTATCAACAAATTTCCAACTTTGAATCTTTTTTTTCTGAAAAAGGAACCATAGTTTTCTTGTACATTTCTTCAATTATTAGCAATTCCCAAGGAACAAAGAACTCACACTTTCCCTAATATCTTTCTTCGGCTCCTAACAGTTTCCAAGTTTCAATCTATAGAGGAAGAAATGAATCATAATTTTCTTGTAGATCTCTTCGATTATCAACAAATCCCAAGCAACAATACTACCATTGGAGACTTACAAACTAAGAGGTTTCGAAATGTGGTTTTCTTTTTACCTGGCGATAGAGGGGTGAGTTGAATTTGAAATCCACATGGAAATGAAGGTCGCAGGTTCCTGGAATGGGTCCTGGCTTAAATTGCCAGAGGTTTATCAAATGATCAAATACACCAGTGTCCCTTGCAGTTGTCTGAAAAGCACAGATTCATATCATGTTGTAGAATCCATCAGTCACTAAAATCCAAACAAACAGAAAGCTGAAAACAGAAGCAAAAACAAGTCATTCCTTACCTTAATCCATTTCGGCCTTTCGGATTCGACATGGGAAATGTAACTCTCAACAAGAAACTTAAAACCAATCTCCAGTTCTGCATCGAATGATCCATCTGGATATTCTTTAAGAATCTCAGAGCGTTGACACCAAGGAACAAACCCGTGGTACAAATCTACAGCTGCAACTACGTTAAACAATTGCTCTGGAGAATACCTGTAGTAAAAGAAACACATATGAGTAAGTCAACCTTCAGAGAACATGAACTTCAAATCATCAATGTATTGTCAGCAAACAAACAATAAGGATAAGGATTTCTCGGATTCATATGACAAAGTTGCCACAGCACAATCATCTAACAGAATAGTTGTTCTGTCTAAACCCAACCGATGATCATCTGGAAAACTGGTTAATAGTATATCAGGTTCGAAACAAGGCAAACACAAAGAAATATCCAATTACTGCAACATTTAAAAGTCTCAGATGCTTACTAGATCATTGAACCCTTCTTTCACTGTTTGATCCACGAAACAGGAAATAAAAAGCCAACATTTCATTTATAACAAGGGCCACAAAACATCAGATCAAAGCATTGAAATATTTCTCAAAGTTGTGCTTTTTCATTTTTAAGAGGCTGTTAGAAGGAAACAAGTACGCAGGAGATTTAATCGATAACATAGGAGTAGAATCGAGTAGTTCAATAAAAAATCAGATCAAAGTTTAATTAGGTTACCCCAAAACACGTCGCTCTTCGTAGATCTTAGATAAGTCACTACCACCTTCTTCACCATCTCCACAACCCAGAAAATGCCGTCTCTGAATTAAACTTGCAGTGCCAAAAGAGACTCTACCATAATCATCATTGGACATTAACCCATAAGAAGAGCATCTCTCAACGCTGGAGAGGGAACCAAATCTCCTAATTTGATCAGATTCAAATCTCCGCCGTGGGATCCCCAGACAACGGCTAACCGGGTTCCTGATCGCGTTTCGACATGAAATTAAGGAAAATATGGCTCTGGAGCCTGACATAAACGGTGGCATTATTACAATCAACGCCCAATCTGGTAGAGATCCAGTACAAAACAGAGAAATTATCTCGGGACGATTTAGGGTTGCAACCAGAAAACAGAGGGACGACGAAGAAGACCAACACTTTCGATTCGATACAAATTTGATATAGATGAAGAAAACAATCGCAAGGCCCTCTTCTTCAACAAGCAAGAGGAGAGAGAGGTCTCTACGTAATCTACAGAGCTAAATGCTCGCAGGAACACACACATACACACCTTTACAAAAATTAAAATATGAGAGCAAGCTTTTTTCCCTTGGTCAGAGATAGCGACCGGCCTCGTTTTTTTCATTCTTATTTAAATATTTAAAAAAATTTAGGTGCATCGTTGGGTTTCGTAGACTTGGCCCAATGGGCTTAATGGACACATTGTTGGTTGTCTGGAGTTGACACTGGTATAAGCAATTTGGTAAAATTGTGTTAACTTAACGTAATTGAATAGTTGGAACTTGGAAGAAGAAAACAAAAAGAAACAGTAAGGTAAGTATTACAATTTATAAATATGGGATCATACTTCACCAGTCCATGCTGCTAATGTTTATCTAAACCTAAAGAGAGGACACAATACAAAACAGAGAGAAAGAGAGGGAGAGGGAGAGGCAGAGAGAACTGGTTTCACCTTCTGTGATACAAATCACGCTTTTTTTTTTCTTTTGTTTACACACATTTCTTGTTTCTTAACACCCAAGGGTGTATCTTCTTTATTTCCTTCACGGCTTGTGTAACTTGAACCCAAACACTCTTGGAGTGTAGCTTTGAGATGCCTTTTGTGGCTTCAGATGTCCGTACGTCATCAGGAACAGATGTGGAAACGTTGTCCCAAAGTATGCTCCATCTATGTCTGTTTTTTTTGTGTGTTAAAGAACAACAAACCAAAGGTACCAGCAACGAAACATAGGAATATCTAATGAGATCAAAGCAAAACCAAGTATGTATAGCCGTATAGAAATGCATGCAAATATAAGTGAGGACTGAGAATAGGAAACAAAAGGATACTTCCTTGGTATTTTGATCGTGGGTAATAGACGTCTTCACATTTGGGGCAATATATCTTTACGGTGCTTGCTCGAGGGATATCGGATTGACCAACTGGCAAACAAGGTTGGCCACAACAATAAACTCTTGGGCATCTTCCAAAGTCGTAGTCTTTGTATTTGTCTAACTGCAAAATCATGGTAGAGAAACCAACAATTGGTGTCTGTTTTATTATAGGATTTGTTAAGTATGCGACTTAAGTAAAAACTAAAGAGTTTCTTTACCATAGAAGCCAGCCCTTTGCTTGTCAATATGTAACGAGCATGAATCATCCCATAAAGCATCTCCGCTGCTGACTCGATCAATTCATTCTGTTCCTCTGTAAACATCTCACCTGTTAACCCGTCAATCCAAATCAAACATTGAAGACACAGAAACGGAAAGGCAAACCAGTTTTCCTTTATACTATTACCCCCTACAACCATGAAAAACATGCAATCACATACTAATTTTTTAAAAGGATAAGACTTACCATGCGAAGACTCTACATCCAAAATCAAATCAAGGGCATAGTCGTAGTAAGGAACTTGATGGCTGAGTCCACACAAGTTAAAGTCATCCTGGATGTAATCATCATCAACTTCACAGAAGAACTCATTCCCGCGTAGGTTGCAGAACCAGGATATCCATGAGGTGTCTTCTCCATCAGAACCACTGACCTCTGATTCTTCGCTGTCTGTGTCTGATATATCAACAGCTGTTGTAACCACAGGAAATGCCCACAAAACATTTCATCAGCATCTTTCTCTTCAGCATATAAGAATGATTTGGCGGTACCAGCAAAATGAATGAACACATATAAACAAAAGCTGGATTGTGTCTACGATTAAAGCTTCTAGCTTTGATACGTTTGTAATTACTGAATAAAAAATGAATACAATTATAGCTAGAGAAAGGTAAAAGAGGTTCGTAAGATTATCAACAATTAGGTCAAGATGGTAACACAAAGAGGTTAAAAATAAGAATTTTCCAATCAATTTTAAGAAAGTTGAATCCCAAAATCGAGAGATACGAACTCGAATCGAACAACTGATGATTACGATTGCAGAAGGATACAGCGAGAAAGGGAAAAATCGAATCTCACCATGAGCAGAACGTAAATCCCTCTCATGCAATTGCTGCTTCCCCATCAAGACGGAGGTCGCTGTAACCTTGCCTTTTCCATTGATGGGCTGAGACATCGAATGCGAGGGACGGTTGTCGTGAATCTCGTTTATACGTTTCCGATCGACCACCTCCGACTTCGATCCAACCGTACCCCTCTCCCTATACATGATCTAATCTCTCCAAAAATTCGGAATCTCCCGTCACCGGAGATAAACGCCGGTGAAACCAAAACACGAAAAAGGTGTGCCTAGAGAGAGATGAAGAGCTCTAGGGTTTTGAAATGGAGCTTCTCGTCTCGCGTATATCTCTATCTGACAACTAGTCTCTTGTTGGTACATAGACAGTTTTTTTTTTTTTTGTTCTTGCTCGGAGATTTTTTTTTTTCCTGAAGATAAGAAAAGAATAAAAGAACAGGGAAGGGCAAAACGGGAAAGGAATGAAACAAATTGAATTCTCCGGTTATTCGTCAACAAACGAGAGAGAGAGAGAGAGGCACGTGACGCTCACGTGATATGACAATAAGGCTTTGACAGAGTTAAACTGCCCCGGGACAGGTTCGATTCGCTTTTGCCTTTCTTACATATTGAAATTGAACGGCGTGAAAGTAAAAAGGTCAAATATTCGAATTTGGAAAAAATTTCAATGTTTTTGGTTTTTGAAATGTTACAAAAGAAATCCAAAATCGAAACCTTTATTTAAAAATTTGATTTTGGATCCTAAGTACTAAGACTCCACTGAAGAAGCACAAAGTTACTGAGGTGGTTCTGGTGATGCAGGATGTTGTAGAAGGTGAACATGATTAGTGATTGCGTCAGGACAAGACTGAGCCTGTAGAAGCTCTAGCCTCATGAAAGGGTGCACGAACTGAAGTATGTAATCTTCGTCTGCAAACACACGTTGTTAGCAAATATATGTGAAAATATCATTTCCATTATTCTATGTAGGCGCAACAAAAAGATAAACTTACTTTCTTTAACAGTGCCGTATAGCCAGCAAAGAACTTCATCGGCAAAAGCCAAGCACACTCCTCCCTAATTCCCAGAACTCATTGTGTTCAATCTTACTAAATTTTTTGATTATACATAACTATCATTCATGTCTGTAATGAGAACTGATACAGTTACCTGCCAAAAGTTTTTTAACCTGGCTCTGTGCGCAATATCCTTCGTTCTTAGTCTCTCTGTGCGTACTAGTCTTCCTCCATCATCTCTACACCAGGTTAAAAAGGGAAATGGAAATATTTACTTGAAATTGCGAAAGGTTAATACATTTTCATTTTATCCTGAGAATGGCTGGCAAATTCATACCTGTATCCAACGACAATGTATGGAACTCCTGCTACGAATGATTGTATCTGCAGCATGTTTAACCATATTTAAGACTGAACAAGAATGGAAAAACAAAGATTATACAAGCAAACTGTGATACATCATACTTACCCAGAATTTAAGCAGTTTCTCTCTTTCATATCTGTCTACGGTACGATCATCCAACTGGAGAGTAAACAGTAGGGATATTACTGATCAATGTGTACGTGTGTGAAATGAAAATGAGAAGCTGAAATAACAAACGAGCTTCTAGGAAAACTATAGCAAGAAGAGGCATACCTCACGAGATGTTTTCAACTCTATGTAAATCCTTTTTCCCTCGTCAGTTTCATCACAGCAGTCCATTTCAGCACCCATCAGAACCCGGTGAGCTCCTAGTTTAGTCTTCACAACAGAACAAAATTCAACATTTGCATCCACATGATGTATTTCTTCTCCATAAGCTCTTCCTGGATCTTCCGTCGCAAGGCTTTCGAAACAATAGCCCCAATAACATCTGATGGAAATATAACATCAGGTTTATTAGTAGCAATATATATAGTGCAGCTTCTACAAACTCTTATGACCCATTTTACTTCAAAACATCGCTTCCTTTTTTTTCCTTTTCCATCCACCACTTCCTATTGTTTATTTAATTTTCTACGTAGGCATTGTCTAGCTCCATATATGATAAAACTAGTAGAATCACTCTTTTGCTCCTATACAATCAAAATGAAGATTACCTGCGGCGATCTAAGTCACTCTGTGGCCTTTCAGGCAGTTTATGGACATCTAGATATATGGTTCCATTTCTCTTATGCACGCCCATTTCCCACGGTTCATGCCGATTGTAAGCAGCGCCCAATATCTTACAGAATGAAACAAAGTGCATCGTGTGATTCATTTGATATCACAAAGGTCAATAACTGTTGAGCGATCTCACTTACCTTGTTTAGATTATTACGAAATGTCTGTTTCAAAAAAGCAAAATAGAAGACATTGTTAAGATAACCTCTTCAAACTAATGATTGACAGTGAAATGGACTGATATACACCAGCACTTCATACCACAAAATGAATGTTCTCCAGCGAAATGTTCTTTGCTCTAATACTGCCAAGAAGGTCACCAAACCCCTCAGAGCCCAGGTCTGCCTCAAAAGAACAATTAATCAACTGAATATATCACAATTCATGCTAGCAGTTCATATACGGTACACAGGGGTCACTAGTTTATTACCTTTTTTCTCGATAAAAGTATCATAACCTTGATTTAAATCCGCTCCAATCTCTTCAGCAACATGACGTTTGAAAAGCCTCTGGGAAACAAGAACAAAGTGGATACATATAAGCTCTAGGATATTTGGTATGCTTATATGTTTGCCTAAATATAAATATGTACATACTCGAACAATTAAGTAGGTCAATGGGATGACAAAAAAAAGAAAAGAAAGGAAAAGAGAGAATCTATAGGAACAATAATACCAAAAGCTCTCACCAATCCTCGCTCATCATAGAATACTTCTCCACCTTCTACTCGACTGTAGCTAGTAAGCTCACATGGCTGTTAATATCAAGCATTTTGAAACACATGTTACCATATCCATAAAAATAGACATAAATTGAACAGAAAGTAACGTTAAACTCTGCCTAAATTAATTTAGAAGTTAGAACAGTGTTCCTTGAGATATATTACCTCCTGAAAGTTTGTTTGTTTTCTAGCCAACGTTTCTTTGCTTTTCGAAAGCTTAAGCTCAGAAACAAAACGTTCATCACGCTGATAATTCTGGTATCTTCCGCCAAAACCACCACGATTACCACGTCCAGGGTAAGGTCCAGGCCGAGGAAGAAGCCCAGGTCCTCCTCTCCCATTTGACCAACGACCACGTCCCATTCCTCCTCTCCCACCATGGTTATCATTGCTCCATCCCGCAGGCAAAACTGTCATATTTCATATCAACATAACTCAGTAGCCATAGAGAACCCAGAAGCCAAAAAAACAATTCAGGCCCAGAAATAGTACACGAGATAATAGTAAGACAAAATGGTTCCACCCTGATATCATAGTAATCATGAAAAATATCTCAATCACAATTAAGAAGGAGCAAAAGCTACAAAAAAAAAAAAAAGAAAACTAACCTACAAACTTGTGCATATGCATAGAGATGAATTTGTTCTGAGTTCCAAGAGTTTAATGCAGTATCAAATTTAGTTCCGTAATATTGAATTCTTAGGAATTGCTAGAAACATCAATCCCAAATTTTATAGTTTTTGTAATCACAAAAGTAGGAAATCTCAAGCAAATACGAACTTACCAGGAATTGAGTAAGTGCTAATTGCAGGTGTCTTAGTATACTCTTCATTGTCAGACCCAAAAAGATCCTTTCCATCATCTTCTTCTTCCTCTTCTTCATAAGGATAAATTCCACTTTCTCCATTATCATTGCTCCTATAACTCTCCACTCTATCATCTCCATGCTCCTCTTTCCCGCCGCTACTTCCACTTCCGCTATCGCTTGCGCTGCCAGATTCCGCACCACCACCATCTCCATCTCCATCCCCATCCCCTCCCGCCGCAGAAGACGAAGATGAAGACGACGAGGATGAAGATGACGATGAAGAAGCATTACCCGAAGAAGAGGACTTCGAACGGGAAGATGGTGAGTCGTTGTCGGAATCTTCTCCGAACAAATCATCCATAGGGTTCTTCTTCGGCGGTGAATCCATGATCAAATTTAGGTATTTTTCTCTATTTCTCCTTCCGTTGCAGAGAGCTTCGGCTTCCGATCGAATAATACGGGAATTGGAATAGCCACCAAACCCAAATGGCTCGGATCCGAGAGTTAAAATGTCCGACCCGAGCGAGTTTACGAGTTCACCCAGCGGCTTTTGCTATAATAGTATAAACGAATCAGGCCCATTTAGCTTTTTAGATATCCAAGGCCCAAATTAGGTAGCACACTAGCGCTGTAGCGCACAACCTTTGTTGCCTTTGAATGAATTAGAAATTTGCCTGGAAGTAAACAGATGTATTAAACTTTTTAATTTCACATTTAGACACAAAATTGGTTTAAGTTGTACACTACAGAGGATAATAATTAAAATTTAATCATACAATCATACGATACCAACTAGTTTCCGGAAGGCCTTGACATGCTCAAGCCTCTGAGCTTGAGCCTCGTTAACAGCGTCTGCTGCTTTCAAGGTTCTGTATAGATTCTTATGAAGCTTAAGGTACTCATTCTTATACATGGTTAGATCGTTATACATATCGTTCTCCTTCATATAACTGATAAGCTCCATAATTCTCTCAAAATACCCACCTCTAATAAAGTTCACCACAATCTTCTCTAACAGATCTTGTGTAACCTTTAAGTTACTGCTCGCAATGTTCCTTTTGATATCTCCCCACACGATCGTGATCTCCCGGTACATGCCAAGAGATGAGTACATGTCGGTCAAGATCCAAAAACTTTGGACAGTTGGTGGGACTTTCATCTTTGGGATTTTCCTGTAGGTTATTAAGGCATCTTCTTGCATTTTAGCTTTGCAGAAGTAGTAGAGGGACGAGTTTAGCTCATAGAGCATACTTGAAACTTGTTTTCCTGCATCGATTTCCTGGACCAAGAAGTCCATGAGCTCTGTGGTTTTACTGTCTTTCTCTTCGGTTTCTGGTAAAACCACAATCTCATCTGATGGATCTGTAATTAGACCGACTTTGGTCATTTGTTTCAGAAGTACTTCAGCATTTCTCAACATCTTGCTCTTGTAATAACCCGACAAGACTTTTCTATATGTGTCCAATTCCAAGGGATGACCAGCAGAAACCATGTCGTCAAGAATATCATGAGCGGCTTCTAACCAACCAATAGCAACAAAAGCATCAACGACATCAGCACATAAACTGGATCCACCCAGCGAAAATAAAAGCTTTGATAGCTCAGGGAGATTATCATGTCTCTTGTACCCATATACTAACTTGGCAAGAGTCTTTTTTGTGATAACAAGCTTGGAATTGGCATAGTTGACAAATGTTGCTTCAGTGTCCACTCCATGAGATGAATCTCTCTGCAAAAGCTTGGGTGAAATTTGGATCTTTAACCCGGATCTGATATGGTGAGACCCCACAGGCAAAACACGAGGCTTTTCAGAATCAAATCCAAGATCATGATCTGAAAGCAAGTCCTTACTCTTGCATATATCTAAGACAAGCCGACAAGCAGAACCGATATCATCAAATTTGAACTCCAGGCTTAACAAATTATCAAACAAATGTCTATAATGACAAAGAAGTTGAGGCGGTAACTGACCAATATGCTCCTTGACCTTCCTCAACTCATCCCGCATAGCATTCATCTCATAAATGCAAGACATGATAACAATCGTATACGCATCCGCAATGACATCAACTTTAGCCATCAGCTCAATAAGTTCTTGGCCTTTGAGAGATAAACCAAATCTCACACAAGAACCAAGTACAAGATTAAACAAGACGGTATCAGGCTTCATAACATTCCCAGTACTGTTATTTCTTTTCGACACATTTAATCCAACAAAACGATCACAAACCTGAACCAAATAATTCGAAGCTAAGCAAGTACCAACCTCTGTTTTCACCATATGCATCACAACAAGCCTCAACACATCTGAGGTTAGAACATAACCCTTCTCCAGCATTATTCGAATGATACTACAGGCAGATTCAACCATCTGAGCTCTCGCTAGAGACAACGACAACTTAGTTAAAACATCTCCACTTAACATACCTGGATTTTGCTTCAAAACCAAACGAGTCATATTACCAGCCTTGCAAAGCCAAGCAGTATCAGACGAGTAAGACAACACAGTAACAAACCTGTTCATGACTACACTATCGGGAAACCCATAGAGCCGTTTGAAATCTTTAAACACGTCCCAAGCATCATCTACACGGTGATCCTTAAGAGCTATTTCGAGCTTCTTCTTGAGAATCACCTGAGAAGAAACTTCCCAGCTTAATCTACCAGGTTCAACACTAGTGCAGAACAGAGACGATTTTGAGGTGCTGCTACACAAGACCCGTGAAATTAGGGTTTCTACGTTGCTTACATCGAATCGATGCAACGATTCTAGAACTAAGTTCCGTTTCCTAAACATCAGTCTACAATTTAGTAACTAAAGCACAACCTGGGATGAAGAGAAGCTGATTCCAAATCGAAATGTAACAATGAAGAAAACATAATAACTACATGCGAATCCTCCAGCTCGAGAACGGATCTCGAAAGAGCCCTAAATTGCTGTAAACTCGGAATCGAGACTCGAGAGAGAAGAAGACGAGAGGAGTGCTGGAACAAGACGAGAGTGGCAAGACCGTAAATTTCATTTTTTTTTTTTGATTAAAGACCGTAAATTTCATTTTTACTTTAAGATTTGCTGTAAAAAGGGCCCAACAATAGTTTATATTCACAATTTATACGTTTAAGGTTCGATTGAAACAATCAGACCCACGATAGCGATTAATGCGTAACAAATCTTTAACCTTTCGCTTTGCGGTAAAGGTTCCAACAAAAGTTTATATTTACAGTTTATACTATTAAGATTTGATTGGAACAATCAGATCCCTGATAGCAATTAATGTGTAACAAATCTTCAATCTTTCACTTTACAATTTAATCAATAAGAAACAAAAAAAATGTATGATTGTGTTATGTACAGACTACAGACTCATTAACATTTTCCTAACTATATGACATAAATCGAATGGTAAATTAAGATCATTTTCTTTTTCTTTATAGCTAAAACCCAGGATTTCAAAACTGTATCTGAGAAGAATGAAAAAAGGAACCCAGAATGATAAAAATTCCAGGTAAAAGAAACAATTTCAAGAAAGCTACTACTACTACTACTGTCTACAAACACATGTTGATGACACACCCATAAGCTCAAGAATTGTGCTTCCAACTTGTACGTTTCGGTTTAAACCAAGATTGATTCCTTCAGGTGGCAATCTCGTCGACTTCTGAATGGAAGACAAAACTCGGAAACGTTGTCGTTATATCCCTGCACAGTTGTTTTAATGTATACACGTTAAGAATGTTTATTCTTACATACTTTAAGTTGTTTTTTTGGTTTTCCATAACCAAACCAATTTGTGAAATGTACCTGAGATATGGAAGAGTCATGATCTTAAGCAATGATGGGTTTTTATTTACGAAATCACTCCACTCTAGTTTATCAATCTTTCCATCTTGGTTCACGTCTGCATCTTCAAATGTCTGTTCATGAATGAGAGAAGAAACCATATTTAGAACACAACCTCTTCATGTTTCAATTCAAGAAAAAAAAAACAAAAAAAACAAAACCAATGACAACAACAAACCTTATCGAGTATGATCTCTATGGTTTCATCAGCCAATTTCATTTCGGATTCGCAGAGAAGGGCAATCAACATTTGCTTGACCTGCCAAAAAAATATCACAAACTCAATAACCGACTTCTTGAAAAGTTATGAAGTAAAAAATGCATAATCAAGAACATGGCAAAGATCTTTCATGATTAGTATTGTGCAAGTTATTATTATTACCTCTTGGCGTTCAATGTAACCGGTACAGTCCATGTCGTAAAGCCTAAACGTAACTGAGAAGAAATCGAAGACCATAATCAGTAAAACTCATCACAAAGGCTTCAAGAAACAATAGTTATGATGACGCTTTCTCATGTCAACTTACAATCTATTTTGTCCTCTAGAGAAGCATTGGGGTGGAAAACATTGAGTGATCTTACAAAGTCCCCAAAATCGATGACTCCTTTTCGTTTAACATCAAACATATCAAAGATCTGCGAGAAAGCATAATTGTTTTGTTTAGTGCACATGATCTCATTTCGATTAACCAAGAGGTCTTGGATCACACTTCAAGAAGACAAATTTGTAAAAGCATGAGGAACTCAGATTATTTTACCCTATTAGCAAATATATTCTCCCTCTTCCGGCTCTTGAACAAGGCAAGTTGAAACTCCTCCTGCATACATATGAAGCAAGAATTTAAAAACCAACATAAATAAAAGTGGGCCAAGATAGCCTCATGTTTCAAAATCAAAGCAATCAATATAATACTTTAGTTCAAGTCAAACAATAAGGGCTACGATACATTGAATTGATGCAATATGGAACAGACAGATCAGCATGGAAGAATAATATAATTTTGCTCAAAGTGAAGTCAACAAAGTTGAAAAATCCTGTAGATGAATTAGAGTAAAGAACAAAAAGATACTAGGATGGGGTCATGAAGGGATCCAAATTGGGTCAAAAGAAACAAACTTTTATCAAGACTTTGTACCTTGTTTATCAAACCATCATCAACAACCGAACTGCTTATGCTCTTGAAAAGCTCAAACAATGCTTCAACCTCACTCACACTAACTGGAAAAGAGAAAAGGACACTGCGAGATCAAAAACAGAGTACCAGGAACAGAACAAACAAATGAATCCACTTTAATCTTTGAACATTTTCAGATTGGTAAAGACCTCAAAACAGAGAGCTAATAAACTTCAAACCCATAAAAACAGAGAAAAAGGATGGATCATATGATATAGATTGATGATGATTCTCGTATCAGAAAACAAATGAGGGTTTAAAACTTATTGAACATGAGTGTAACTTACAAGCTGTTTCAGAGGCAAGCTTAACAGGGTCTTCGTGTCCTCGGAATTCTCTTGCTGCCTTGGAGTGGAAGCAGCCCATTTACAGATGAAATAAGAAGATGGAACCCTTAAAACCCCGATCCGCAGATCAATACGATGAAGGAGACGGTTTGATCCAACAGCTAATTCAGCGATTTCTGAGATGCTAATATGCTACAGCTTGAAATTTGCTACTGTTACTGCAAATCATAACAAGCATCTTTTTAGAATCTAAACATATTCTATTGAAACAGAACACGAAAGATCAGGGGAAAAAAAACAATGCCATGTCAATAGAAACAGAACATCAAATAAACTCTGTTTAGAATAATCTCAACAACTTGCTTTGCTACAAATAAACAGAGAGGACAAAAGTGTAAACCCTAGCAAAGTAGCATCATCAATATGAAAGAAAATACAGAGTTCTTCGAATCTATAAGATAGAAATACATAATTGGAATAAAAACTATACCAAAGGAAGAAGAAAACACGAATCCAAACCAGAAGATCAATGTAGGCACATCGAGAATTCCGAACCCAGAAATGAAATAAACCACGAAAATTCGTATACGAAAAAAGTTGTATAAAAAAAGAAAAAAGAAACACTTACGACCCAAGAGAACGGCTCGCCGGCGAGATCCAGAGAGAGAGGAGCGAGAAACAGCAAAAAGAAAACGAGAGAGAGAGAGAGAGAGATTGGTGAACGGTGAAGGCAAGATGGATGATCGGACGGTTGAGATCAATTACACTAGATGCTGCTGCTTGGGGGGTTTTTTTTTTTTCTTTTTAATTTTGTTTTCCTTTGGTAGAGAGAAATTGGGGATTTTAGTAGTAGCTTATATGATGGGATTATCGCACGTGTGAGGTCTCGTAAGCGCGTGTGAGACGAGTCAGTTTTGGAAGTTATATAAAAAATCGTCATTTAATTCAGTTCTGGTTTTGTCGTCATGTACGATTTATTTCAGTTGAGACCGAACCTGATTTACCTGATTCCCATATCCATTCTGATTTCGGTTACGTTTTCCTTCTGTTCGTATAAGTTTCTCTTCTGTCTTTTTTTTTTTTTTTTCTTTTCTGTACAACTTTGTTTTGTTACGTAAGCATACACGATGATACATATCTATGTTTTCTGGAGATTGTACTAGTTTGAATGAAAAAAAAAGTATTTTATCCTATATTAGTAAAAATATTACATATTCATGGATTTTGTTGCATAATAAATTCAGAAGTTCCGGTTTTTCTAATAACCTTCGCATCTGGGGAAAAAATCAAAGATACGTCCGTTTTAATAGTCAAAATAGCACCTCGCTAGGAATATTCTGAATATACAGGACTGAGGGACCTTGACTCATAACATTTTTAGGATAATTGTTTATATTTATATTAGATGTTATTAAAAATGTCAATGTCCATAAATTGAAGATGGACGCAAATGGAAAACGCAAATATATAATGATCTTCGACTGATTGTATCATCACAATGTGCTGTGTTTCTCTCTTTAGAGTCGAGACGTGCGTGTTGGTGGTACACCATCTTCTTTCATTTTGCCTATCATCTAAAAAAACCCGATTTTGTTTATATATCATTTTGATTGAAAAACACAACCAAATTATAGTTCCGTTTAGAGTTTGAACACTCCAACACAAAACAAGTGTTTTAATTCATGATGTAGCCATTTTTAAAACCATTATTGGTCCATAGCAGTCATGTTGACAACTGAGAAGCTGAAATGGATCTATAACTGTAATCATGTGTCGAAATGTTTAGATAATTATAGCCAATTCTCGATGATATTTCGAATCAATTAATTATATTAAAGTATTGTGTTTTGTGATTAAAGTATGTCGTAGACCAGTCGGTGTGAAATTAGTATATTGGTCTACAATGTGGCAGGCAAAGGTTGACATAATTAGGACTTTAATCACGACCAGGCCACGTGATTATCGTTCAAGACAATAATAGTATAGTATTATTAATACTCTTGATTATGGATTAGTAGCTTTGATTCTCAGCCGTAACTCATTTTTGAAAAACGTTTTTAAATAAATAGAAAATTCGGTTAACTCGTAATTTGTAATCAAGAGGAATAGCTTTATTCCTTGTGATATTATACAGAAATCCAAATTCAAACATATGATAACGTCATTCGTCTAGAACAGTTTTAAAAATATATGATTTCCATATGCTGACATAAGTAAATGCGATAACCAGGAAGCTACGAGATATCTGTAGAAAGGTGAAAGAATAATAAAACTACAGTAAAACCTCTATAAATTAATACTCGATAAATTAATAATCTCTATAAATTAATAAATTTCTCCGTCCCAATTTGGGACCAGTGTAATTTTAGACATATTTCGATAAAATAATAAGATAATATTTTTTTTGAAAATCCTTTGTAAATATATGGTCCCAACAATATTATAAATTAATAATTAGGTAAATTTTTCAAAATATATGCATATATAAACACATTAGTTTTTGTTAGAGTTTATTTCTAGTATTTTACTATATCAGAAATAGTTAGCATTCTCTTTCAAGACATAATAATTATTATTTTCTTTGTAATTGATTATATAAAATACTAATTCTCATGATTAAATCTTATTTTAATTATTTTTTTGAAAAAACTTTCCAAATTAGGAAAATCTCTCTATAAATTAATAATTATTAATTTATCGATAAATTAAAACCTCTATAAATTAATAGATTTTCATGGTCCCAACATTATTAATTTATAGAGGTTTTACTGTATTTAGAAAATGCTTGATAATTATCTAAAATAAAGCGTTACCTAAACGTTTCAAAACTTCCAACAACAAAAATAGTTTAGCTTTTGTTTTTGTGGTCGGCATGATTCGTTCTTGTAGATTTCACCAAACCTTGGCAAATAACTTTTGTTTTATAGCATTTTAAAAAAATCCAATCAACCACTTTTAATGTGGGTTTGAATTGACTCTTTGTCGTGGTCAGTTTGGTTGGTCACCGCACTGGGCGTGTTGACAACGCGTCCTCAAATTGTTCTTTTCATTAATGTATTTTCGGACCATACTTAAAGATATAAACGCAGCTTAAGTACATCCGGATCCGTGGCGCAATGGTAGCGCGTCTGACTCCAGATCAGAAGGTTGCGTGTTCGATTCACGTCGGGTTCAATCCCCCGAACTTTAATTCCGGATTCTTTTTTATTTATTTTTTTAACCGTCCGGCCCAACAAGAGGGTAAAGCACTAAGCCCAATCAAGCCCATATTAATAATATTATTATGCAATATACGAAAAGTATAGGGATATATTTTCAGTTTTTATTTTCTCCCCTAAGTATACGACTAGGGTTTATCAGTCCTTAGCCATGAAAATTATTTGAAAGTAGGGAGCCAAAAGGGTTTAACAGAGAGATTCTTCAGGACAAAGTCTTTCTGTACCATTTTCAAATTCGTTTGCGTTTCTTTGTCTGTTTCGGCTGCTTGCAGCCATTTTTTCCGAAGTTCGAGCTTCAATTTGAAATGGATTCATCGGTGATTACCTCGCTGTCCTTGAGCTTCAAACAAGTTCCACCAGCAGCTGTTCCTGCGTTTCTTGACTGTGTTTTAAGCTCCACAGGCGTTTCTCCCTTGACCCTTTTCGAATCACTTATCAATGAGTTGCCTTTTCGTTTAGAGGTATTGATTGATTGCTTTTATTGTTTCACACCTTCGGGATTTTGGTTTTGAGTTGAAAACACTTCTTCCTCGTTCTTAATAGGATACGGTAAATGGAGATAAGAGGTTTGATTCTGATGAATGCAACCACATTGCTTCATTGGTGGCTGGACTTTGTCATCTACTTAAGAGTTTTGGTGAGTTACCAATTTTGAATCTTCAGATATGTATGGTGTGTTAGAGTTGATTAATTGATTAATTGAGGTTGAAGCAGGCTTTGGTGCTGCGGATAATCCTAATACGTTGCAGTTGTTTGTGTGGAGAGTGTTTATTCCACTCATGAAGATGGTTCGTGCATATGATTTGGATATGCTTAATACGGTAAACAAATTTTTCTGTCATAATTCTCGGAGTTGAGATTAATTTTGAGCTTATTGATCATTTTGTCACCTTCTTTTTTTTTGCATTTTTTTTATTGTACAGATTGTACAATTGTTCTTTGATGTAGTGATTGAGACTAGTGTATTGGATAAACTGGGAGTGAGCTTGGTGCCTTTTTTAATGAGATCAGTTGGTGTTTCGATGGGAATGCTTCAACACGAAGAATCAGATTTCATCAAGTGGGGGGAGCTGTTGCTTTGTGATTCTTTGGATACAATAAGTATGGATGAAAACTACATTGCGAATTTGTCTGGATTGTTTCCGATTCCACTGTCTTGCCATCTTCTGAATTTGATACTGAATGCTGCTTTTCAAAGTCACCAAGCAGCTCAAGAGGTGGAAAGTTTTGCAGCTGGTATGCTTTGGGATTTATGTAATACAACTGAGCGTCTTTTGTCACAAAGTGTAGAACATCGTTCATGTGCTGTTAGTTTCCTCATCCCTGCTATTTTCAAGGCGTTCTCTTCTCAGTGCTCTTTGAAGATGTCACGCCAAGGAAATATGTATATACTTTCAAGGTGAGGAGGCTAAGAACCAAAAGAATATGTGCTTCTAGGATAGTCTTTCTTTAGTTTTTTTTTTTTAATATAGATATTGATTTTTAGAGCTGTAAACTCCAGGAATGGCTTCAAAAAAAGAATTTGGGAATGCTGCAAGAAGCTGTTCTCGGTTGGATCAATGGAGAGAAGGGATGCTTACAGTGTCCTTTCTTTGTGTCTTTCTACTGGCTCTTGGGCAGATGAAACTGAAAGTTTGGTTTCACAAAAAGACCCTGTCGAATTTGACTTCAGATCCGAACACGAGTTTTGGGATGAAATCAAGAAAGGCTTGGTACGGAAAAATACTCATTGTTCTTACATATTCTCCAATTTTGAACAATAGGATCATTTATGAGTACAACATAATCTCTTTCAGGTTGTTGATGAGAGCTTAGTAAGGAAGCAGTCATTGCATATCCTAAAATCAGTTTTATCCATAAGTGAAGTGAATAATACCAGTGCTGAGAAGAAGCCCGAAGCGGATTCAGTTCATCGGTCTATGACAAAAAAGGAGACGTGGGCAGAAAAGGAAGCCAAGTCACTTGGTGTGGGAGAATTGTATGGGTCTGTTGACTCTGGGTTGTCTAGTCAGCAGGAGTGGCAAGCTTTTCTGCTCCTGTATGAGATGCTTGAAGAGTACGGCACTCATCTTGTAGAAGCAGCATGGGGTAACCAGGTCAGGTTTTTATCACTCTGGTGATTGTAAACTTTCTGCTCGTAACTCTTATCTCCTCTGCTCATTGTTTTTTTTTTTTCAATTTACCTTTCAGATTGATTTATTAATCAAGTCATCTCCCAGATATGATGGATCCTTGAAATCCGACTGTAATAACTCTCATCACATGGAAATTTCAGATGAAGAAACCAAAATTTTGGACTGGTTAGAGGTTCTTTGGAATCGGGGATTTCGTCATGATAACCCTCTAGGTACTGTTTACTGGGTGGATCATATTGTGTAATAAAATTCAACAATTTTTTACACGTGATCATCACATAAATGAGTCTCTGAAGTGGTCCCATTGTGGCCAGACTTCTCTTTTACTCTTCTCTTTTACTGAAAGTAAAGAAACTATGCTGCCCACAAGTTGTGATTATTTCGGACCTCTATTTCATATCAGTTCTGCTGCTAATTCATCTATTTAAATTGTAGTCAGGTGCACAGTCATGGAG